CTAATTCCTACATTTTGGTTTCCACCAAACCGAATGAGCCCGAAAACTATTGTGATCCCTTATACTTGTGGGTTATCAAGAATCGCCTGCTACTTGTGAGCTACGTTGGGATTTCCCCCAAAGAGGAAGGGTGAAGCAATATAGTAGTTGATAAGTATTTCCCTCAGTGAGAACCAAGGTTATCGAACCAATAGGAGAATCACACCAAGCCTAGTGAAAAACACCTGCACACACAAAGAGCAAATACTTGCACCCAACGCGGGCACGAGGGTTGTCAATCCCCTTGAACTCTTTACTTCCGAGGATCAAATCTGGTAGTGGTAGATACATAAATTGCAAAACAAAATAAAAGTAAATAAGTTGTTGCAATGTATTTTGGTTTTTTGTAATATAATAAAATAGACCAGGGGTCTATAGTTTTTAGTAGAGGCTTCTCTCTTGAAACATATCATATGGTGGGTAAACAAATTCCTGTTGGGCAACTGATAGAAAAGTGCATAGTTATGATGTTATTCATGGCAATGATCATGTATATAGGCATTACGTCTGTGACTAGTAGACCGAAACAATTCTGCATCTACTACTATTACTCCACTAATCGACCGCTATCCAGCATGCATCTATGATATTAAGTTTATGACAAACATAGAAACGCTTTAAGCAAGATGACATAATGCAGACAAAATAAAATCAAGCAATATGAATGAACCCCATCGTTTTACCCTTAATGCCAACAGTACAAATACGTGCCTCGCTACCCTTCCTGTCACGAGGTGAGGACACCGCAAGATTGAACCCATTACAAAGCACCTCTCCCACTAAAGATAAATCAATCTAGTTGGCCAAACCAAACGGGTAGATCAGAGAGAAATACAAAGTTATAACAATCATGCATAATGAAGTGCAACAAAGACTCAATTACTTTCAATAAATAATCAGATCATAAACCCATAATTCATTGGATCCCAACAGACACACCGCAAAAGAAAATTACATCGGATAGAACTCCATGAAGATCATGGAGAACTTTGTATTGAAGATTAAAAAGAGAGAAGAAGCCATCTAGCTACTAGCTATGGACCCTTAGGTCCCTGGTAAACTACTCACACATCATTGGAGGGCAGCAAGGTTGATGTAGAAGCCCTCCGTGATCGATTCCCCCTCCGGCAGAGTACCGAAAAATGCCTCCAGATGGGATCACGGAAGAACAGAAGCTTGCGGTGATGAAAAAAGTGTTTCGGGTGGCTCTCTATTGGTTTTAGGATTTATGGGAATTTAGGGAGTTGGAATTAGGTCAAATGGAGCTCTGTGGGTCCCACAAACTCAGGAGGGTGCCTGGTGAGCTTGTTGTGCTCTCGTAGCTCCCCTGGTCTCCTCCCGAGGCTCGTAGGGTCCCTTCCTTCTAGAAAAAATCATCGTAAAGTTTTATAGTGTTAGGACTTCGTATTGATCTCCTGAAAAACCAAAAACATGCAGAAAATAGCAACTGCCACTGAGCACTGGGTCAATAGGTTAGTTCCCAAAAATGATATAAAATTGCATATCCTCAGAAGCATGCTAGGCGGCGGGTGAGGCGGATTCATTTGAGATCGAACATGGAGAGAACACAGATTTGAGCGGAGGTGGGACTTGCTGGGACAAGAGGAGGCAGGGAATCAACGTTAGGTCCAGGCCGGTGGCACCGACGCAAGTATCGCCGCCGGGGCACCACGCACACCGTCGCCCGGCTTATCCCGCACCGTTGGGATTTACTCGGATCCACCCTAGGAATGCCCAAGCTCCTTTTTTGCCGGTGCCACCGTAGTTTATTTGGGGGTAAGTCCTTAATCACATGGATATATGGATTCATATTTCGAGTTTAGGAAAAAAATGGGCTATGAATTGGGAAATTTTCCACATTAGGGTTTCACAAGTCGCCAATTTCCCTTGTGCTCTTTGTTGTGTGAACCGAATTAGCGAAAGAAAAACTTTACTTGGTGCCATCAAAACTTAACCAGGAGTAAAACATGCAATTATGATCATGGGTTGCGAACCGAACATCATCAGCCCTTATCTAGAACACTTAGAACCAGATAATGAGTAAGAACTTGACCGTCATCATTATAATTTATACACCCTCCGTAAAGAAATTTAAGTGCATTTAGATCACTACTCTTATATTTCTTTACAAAGGGAGTAGAAACAACTACTCCCCTTAATGTAATAAGTTAACACCAAGCTGCTATGATACTGATGTCATATACATGCTTAACATTTTTGCATGTAATCGTGAACTAGAACAACTTGAATGTAAAGCAAAAATGAGATGGTCAATATCAAATATGGGATTAGCCATTGGAGGCGAAAGCGAGGCCGCATGCATGCTTGGTGCAGGCATGGTGAAGGTCAGCGCAACACTGGTGTGGTTGCATGGTGAAGGTCAGCGCAACAATGATGTGGTGCACTATGAAGGTCAGCGGAACAACATTTTACGTTTTACGTCGTAACTGCTCAATTTTGCCCCTTTGTCATGTATATGAAAGAATGACCGTTGCATGAAATGCACGAAGGAGGGAATGAGGAGAGCACATCGCCAATGGCGAATCTACAAAAAAATGGAGGAGGGGGGGGGGCTGGGCTGCCCGGGTCACGCAAACATGTGTTGGGCCGGGCTGACATGTGGCTCGGGTGGGCCTTGAAACTAGTATTAAAAGCTAATTTTACATTGCCTTAAAACCCCCAATGCATGAGAATTAATACCGCAACCCCAATGCATGAGAATTAATACCGCTACCACTCCTGATTCCTGCATTCTACGCAAACTAATCCGAGGGCACATTCGTCAAGTGGGGTGGCAAGAGTTTTTCTTGGTACGCACGCTTAACCCTATATATACAAATATAATTAGGAACGGAGGGAGTACGCAATATAGCACATTAGCAACCATACAACAAACTTAGCGTCCCTGGGCGCATAAAAACCATTTTCGAGCTTCAAATATTCGCCAAATGAACTTCGTATCAATTATGATATACTCCAGTAGTAAAAATGAGAACCACAAAGCAGCACATCTATAGTAGTTGAAACATTTCTATATCTGGTTTTCATCGGAAAAAGGAGTTTTCACGGAAGAGCCAATCACACAAATAGCCCAACGACAGGCTTTGGTGGAGTTGACCAAGCCAAGGCCCGGCGGCACCTTTTGCCCAGGCTTGCAGCCGCGGACACGAACCAGATCCCGCCGGTGATGGGGTTATGCGTGTCGTTAGGTTAGTTTTACCAGATCCCGGCGACCAGGCTGGGCTTAACCAGAGTAATCCCTTCCGCCCCGCCCCGTCGCGCCCCTGGAGGATTCCAACGGGAGCGGCGGCGGCGAGAGGCACGGCCCCGACCTTCCCCTCAACCGCCGGCCGCCGCTTCCGGAGGGGGAGACGATGCCGCTGCGGTGGCCGAGGGCGAGGCGCGTCGCGGCGGCCCTCAGCCAGGTCGACGCCGACCTCGCCGCGCGTCCTCCAGATGCAGGTAAGAGCATCTCCATCTCGTTAAATTTTCCACTCGTTTGGGGGCTGCCGGCGAAATTTTTGGCCTGGGGGCGGGGGGTGGCAAAATTTTCAACTCGTTGCGCCCCCCAGCGCAGCGGCGTCGATGACCTCCTCGGCGCGCGCCCAGCAGAGGAGCGAGCAGAGCAGGCACCGGCGGCCGCCGGCGAGGACGCATGGCCCGCCGCAAGTTCCGGCTGTCCGACATGATACCCAACGCCTGGTTCTACAAGCTCCGCGACATGGGCGCCCACGGACGCGGCGGCGTCGGGGTGCATCATCGGTCCTCGTCGGCTCGGTCCTACCAGCAGCCGCCGTCGGCTAGGTGGAGCATGGAGGCCGTGCAGCGGCCGCCGTTGTTGGAGCCGCCGGTCACGCCAACGAAGGAGTCGCCCCGTGCCCTGCTCCCTTGCAGGGCGTCATACTACTACTCTACCAGAGACAGGGAGGTCCGGCTCCGAAGCCGCCGAGGCTCAAGGACGCGCAATCGCCGACGAGGAGCTCCAGGAGGCGGCACAAGGTGGGCCACGCGCCTGAAAAAAGAGGACCTGGGTCACCTCCCGCCTGCAGGAAGGAGCCCGTGGTCGGCGCGCTAGGCAGCTCTGGTGATCGCGTCAACGGTGACAGGCCTGGCGTGGTGTGCATACCTCAGCTGCGAGATACTCGAGGACGGCGGCGAGGTAGACGGGGGCGCCGGAGCTGATGCGCTGGGCGTAGCGGCGAGGGAGCGCCCGATGCGGCCGACGGGGAACTGCAGCCCGGCCGAGAGAGAGAGAGGATGGGTGTGTGTGTGGAGGGGAGCACGTGGGTGGGCCAGGGAGGGAAAGGGACGAGAGAGGAGAGAGAGACGCTGGCAGGTGGGTCAGCGCCTGCAAAACGGCGAATTAAGCCCCCCAGGTGTCCCCCAGCTCCCTGGGTTTGCCTTGGGGTCGCCGGCTCATTTTTTGGCCAGATCCGGCGCTAATCGAGGTCGTGGGGGCGCGAGTGGGACTTTTTTCATCCGCCGGCGGTTAAAAAGTGCTCCTGGGGGGACGGGTGGAGATGCTCTAAGTTGACTAGATCTCGCGGCCCCCGGCCGTCTCGTCCCCGTCCCTAGGGTTCCGATGCGCATGACTGACATCCCGATATTTTAATTCTTTTGTGGGAGCGACTAACATGTACATCCCGTTTGGATCGGTGCAGGAGAGGCCGTACATGATGCTGCGGATGAACGAAGCCGGCGGCGGCGAGGGCAGCGATTACGGGAGCTCGGAGGCTGGGAGCTACGAGTACGAGGAGGAGCTGGAGCACCACCTCCGCCTCCGCCACCAGGAGCACTCGGGTGGCGTCGATGGTGCTGCTGTGATATCGAGGCTGAGGGTGAGGACAAGTGCTAGGATTGGATGAGCTCTCTGAGGAGAGTTGAGTACGAGGAGGAGGGGTTCGATGATGATGCGGAGGTGGAGGATGTGGAGCCAGAGCTAGACACTGCAGAGTACGAGGATGACGAGGCTTACACGCGAGTGCTTCAGTACGCCAAGGAGCATGAGGTCTCCGCGCAGCTTATGGCCCTCGCTGGGATTCAGCGATTGTTTATGGATTTTTTTCCAGCTCAATTCATGTTTCCCGCGGACTGCTGATGTGCACTTTTGCTTTGTAGGGCGGGCAGTGAGCATGTCGAGGATCACATAAATGACGTGCAGGTAGTGATTTATGTTTCCTTGTCTTGGATGGATTTATTTTTTGTATTTGCAAGTTGGAAGGTCAAAGGTGGGAGCACTCAAATTTTGATGAATGACCTTGGATCTACAGCAATGCTTATTTTGTTAATGTGTGTGACATACAGTGTAGTACTTGCTTATTTCATTGAAGCAGTGACATAATTCCTTGGTAGAGCTAATTTATTCTTTGATATATTATGCTAAAAGTGGTAAATTTACCTCTTGCCATGTTTTCTCCGGGGATTGTGGCATGCACCTCTGATTAGAACTGTCTTTGTTCAAATTGTGGTACTGTGTTTTTGCTTACTTATTGAAACCAGCCAAATTTGACTGAGTAACTTACATTTACAAATCGGCATGTTACTGAAAAAACACAGGATTCATGGCAAGAGGTTGATCCAGATGAGTACTCATATGAGGCAAGTTTTTTTTTGCTTTATTCCCTTTGGTGCCTGGGCTTGCATCTAAAGTTCCAAGATGCAATGCTAATGGTTCTAGTCATGGTTTCAGGAATTAGTTGCATTGGGTGGAGTGGTTGGTACAGAAAGAAGAGGTCTCTCTGCTGATACACTTGCTTCCTTACCTTCAGTAACTTACAACACAAAAGACATGCAAGACGGCAACACAGAACAGTACGTTCAAATACTTTTAAGTTTCATAGCCTTCCAATAATATATATTAAAGTGGCATGCTAACTTGTAATTATTGTTGGTAGATGTGTAATTTGTCGCATGGGATTTGAGGAAGGTGAATCCTTGGTTGCACTTCCCTGCAAGCATTCATACCACCCTGACTGCATTAACCAGTCAAATAAAGGTACAGTGCCACTTTCGACCTAGTTATTGTTAGAACATATACAATAGTTCCCCATAGATGAGGATTGCCTATGTTTTCATGGTATGAAGCATATCAGGCAATCACTCTTGCGCCTGAATGAAAAATGTAAGGTTCCTTTGTACCTCTACTATACACCAACCGTCTATGCTTATTAATCTAGTCATCGTCTATGCTTATTAATCTGGTGACCTGAATAGAAATTGTAGGGTTCCTTTGTACCTCTACTATTCACCATACGTCTATGCTTATTACTATACTTATTATGCAGCTATGGCTTGCTGTAGCCTTATACCGTTGTCTGAAATACACTTGTATGCACATATCTCTCTAGAGCACTGTATGATCAAATATGAAATATCTATGATTTAGTTTCATATATCCCCTTTTTAAAAGCTATTTTCATATATTCCTTTTGCTGTCTTAAGTCAAGTAGAATATCATAAGTAGTGGGAGCTATTGAAAGAGGTATAGTTATTATAAGTAGTACATCCATTTTGGCCACAAAAGAGTTCAAGTAGTTCTAGTGCTATAGTTTAAGCAGTTTTGTCATCCTTCTTTGGTTAAATGAAGATGGCATGATGAAAGAAAAAGAAAGGGAGGCCACTTTGTTGTGCCCGTTAGCATTTTCTTTCTCTGTTTGGGCTTCAGTTTCTTGAACAACATCACTGTTTACAAGTCACATGTGGCATTTATAACCAGTCAAAATGTAACTGATTACCAACACTCAATTATGCACCGAAAACAGCAATCTTCTTTGTTATATTTAGGGACGTGGCTATAGAACAAACATGTGATGCATAGTACTTCAGAGCACACACCCCTATTTAGGCAAGTATGAAAGCGCTGTCCCACGCGGTTTCCAAAAAAGTAAAAGAAGGCATGGCAAGTAATGAGCTTTCCCAGGTGAAATGCGACGACCCAGTCCAGTGTATATGCCATCTTATTATCAGCAAGTAATGAGCTGTCCCAGGTAAAATGCGACCATGCAGTAATAGCATGTGGTTGCAGATCGCATGGCCCGCAGGGGTGTGCGCCCTGTTTTGCAAAATAGTGCAGCTGCACCTTTTAAACTTTTGGCTTATTTAGTTATTTACCATTAGGGCTAAGTTATTTACCATTAGATCTAAATTCAATTTACAATATTGACTTGTATGAGTCAAGTAATGAATTTAAGGTTTGGCAATCAAGTATGTTTAAACTAGTGGACTGCGGAGTTTTTTCCATTGTTGCCTGGATCAATGAAACACTTGGACAGTCTTCATGTGCCAGCTAGTGAAGTTAGTTAAGGACGTCAAGTTACACATAACTCTATTCTCGGTATGGATTATATATCCAATAGCTTAGTGGGCTAATGCAATAGCTAGGTGGACCCATAAGAGCACATTCTCGTTGAGAAATTCTTATATAATGACCTTTGAATTGTAGCCAGTTAACTTCGCATAATTTGTACTCCCTCTGTCCCAAAATTCTTGTCTTAGATTTGTCTAGATACGGATGTATCTAACACTAAAATGTAACTAGATACATCCGTATCTAGACAAATCTATGACAAGAATTTTTGGATGGAGGGAGTATCCCTTACTACAAAAAATTGGGCCTTACCGTGTGGGGAGGTTGCTAAAGCAATAAAAAACTTGTTCATCATTCATATTTTGATACAAATAAATCAAGTTTAAAATTCACCATACATATCGATATAAATAAAACATAATAGAGTAAAGATACATATAGAGTTCAAAACCATGCAAATATAGCTACAACAGAGAGTAAAGATACATATAGAGTTCAAAACCATGCAAATATAGCTACAACAGAGTAAAGATACATATAACATTTATTTATTTTTGAAATAATCTAAGAATTATTCATCTTCATGCCAAGTTTCCAACAATACAAGCTTTTGGCATTCTCTGTGACAAGAGTGCCATAAAAGTTAAAAGGCAAGTTCTAATAGGACGGCGGTTCGACCTGTAATGTTGTATGATGTTGAGTGTTGTCCGACTAAAAGGCGACATGTTCAGCAGTTAGGTGTGGCGGAGATGCGCATGTTGAGATGGATGTGTGGCCACACAAGGAAGGACCGAGTTCGGAATGATGATAAACGAGATAGAGTTGGGTAGCCGATTGAAGAGAAGCTTGTCCAACATCGTCTGAGATGGTTTGGGCATATTCAATGCAAGCCTCTAGAAGCGCCAGTGCATAGTGGACGGCTAAAACGTGTCGATAATATCAAGAGAGGTTGGGGTAGACCGAACTTGACATGGGAGGAGTCCGTAAAGAGGGATCTCAAGGGCTGGAGTATCAACAGAGAACTAGTCATGGACAGGGGTGCGTGGAAGCTTGCTATCCATGTGCCAGAACCATGAGTTGGTTGCGAGATCTTATGGGTTTCACCTCTAGCCTACCCCAACTTGTTTGGGACTAAAGGCTTTGTTGTTGTTATTTGTTGCCAAGTTGCCAACAATAGAAATAGTCGCCGACTGGTATAAAAAAGATAAAATCCATCTTCTTCACTAGTTGGACTGCTCGGGCTTGTCACCATTAGGCCCCCCACAAGCAACTGTACCCGTAGACATAGAATGTTTAGGTGTTAGCTCGCAGTGTCAAATGTGTGTTTAGCTTATATTGCATTCCATCTGTGTAGAGCAGAGACACGATTGATGAAGTACGTGGCGGTTACCTATGAGGGTGCCTCTGTGGGCTCTGGCCATGCACTCCCTGATCCTAGCCATCCTACTCATGCGACATCATTGGGCTTGTTCGCTACCGGCACCACCGCTCGGCCGACGCCACATGTTGTCCCTGCGTTCGAAACCTCCCCAATTGATATTGTGCCATGACCGCCCAACGATTCCACCATGCACATTGTGCCGGTGCCGAGGTTGGCTGCCCATGATGGAAACGTTGGGTGGTTGTGGCACAATATGCATCGGGGAGGCGTCAAACTTAGGCACATCGTGTGGCGGGGCTGACCGGTGGCAAACAAGGCCGAGGCACAAGTCGAATGATGAGGATAACCAGGATCATGGAGGTTGCCCGAAGAGCCTGCTTGGACACCCTCGCAAGTAGTAGTATGTACTCTATCCATAGCGCTTGTGTTCGATGCTCAGATGTAATTCAACCTGAATGTGCATTTGATACTAGGATCTAACACCTGAACATTTTTGCTGCCATTTTTGTGGCCACACATCCATGCGCATGTTGAGATGGATGTGTGGCCACACGAGAAAGGACCGAGTCCGGAATGATGATATACGAGATAGAGTTGGGGTAGCACCGATTGAAGAGAAGCTTGTCCAACATCGTCTGAGATGATTTGGGCATATTCAACACAGGCCTCCAGAAGCCCCAGTGCATAGCGGACGGCTAAAGCATGCTGATAATGTCAAGAGAGACCAGGGTAGACCGAACTTGACACGGGAGGAGTCTGTAAAGAGAGATTTGAAGAATTGGAGTATCACCAAAGAACTAGCCATGGACAGGGGTGCGTGGAAGCTTGCTATCCATGTGCCAGAACCATGAGTTTAGCCAGCATGTCGAAGTTGAAGTTGAATCTAACATCCACAAGGAAAATGTATTAATCTTGTGCAAAGGTATCAATACGACTTGCGTAAGGAAAATCTATTAATCTGCGTGTTGTTTCCTTGCTACATTACTTAAGTTGTATATATCGTGGCTCCATGCCAGAGTCGTGGCTCCATGCCAGAGTCCTCTACCGGTAGATTGTGTATTGTTGATCCCATATTAGTAGAGGATTATGTGCACGCTAGTGTAGTGCCTGTACGTTTACTATTGAACCGCAAAAACTGATTGCAGTTGTATTTGATTAGTACTCTCTCCGTTCCTAAATATAAGTCTTTGTTGAGATTCCACTATGGACTACATACGAAGCAAAATGAGTGAATTTACACTCTAAAATGCATCTATATACATCCGTATGTGGTTCATAGTAGAATCTCAACTTATATTTAGGAACGGGAGAGTAGTATACAACAGCCAATGCACTTGTTGCTTGACATCATAAAAAGCAATACACCAAGTATCAACCAATGGCACGTTTCATGGCTGGATTCTGAAATTTGAAAGTTAGGATGACAGGTATAGGAAGGAGGGGTGGTCGGGGGACGGGGATTGGGGAGCAGGGGTGGCCGGGAAAAGAAATCATGGGCGGATTGACTGGTTGGTTCGGTGTCCCAGTAAAAGAAATCCTGTACCATCATGTACTGATCAAATACTTCCCCATTTAAAACATGAGTAAGGTGGTGGCCTTCTGGTTTGATTGAGTTGTGTATAGCGGCAAATGAGGGGTTCGAGACTCCACAATTGCATTACTTGTTTTTGTTTTCTTTATATATTTTTTAAATCAAAAGAGGTCTGGTGGGGTTGACCTCACCAACAACTTGAATTGCAGCTCTCTCAGATTGTTGACAGGATTTCGTTAAATATGTGCAGGTATGCGCTATGTGTAGCGCGGAAGTTTCTACCTCAACAAACAAGAGGTATGCGCAATGTGTAGCACGGAAGTTTCTACCTCAGCAAACAAGCAGGCATGACCAATAGTTGGCACTTCAAGTTATACCGAGGAAAAAGAAGTTGGCATTTGGGAGTATGTAGTAGCAGCATCATTTATATTATCTTTGATGTTTAAACCAGAGCAGCAAAAACTTGTACAAACTTGTGAAGGGACAAACTTGTACAAATTATCTCATGCTTTAGTTTTCAGTCGCAGAGATATACTGAGAAATATTTGACTTCTAGTTATTCTTTGGAAAGTTTCATGATTATTCATTAAAGCACAGAGATATACTGGGAAATATTTGATTAATAATATATATATACTGGGAAATATTTGATTGATAATATATATATATATTGGGGAATATTTGATTAATTGGTAGAAAATTAATGCTGGCCTGTATATTTGGCTGCAAATAAATACTAATTAATTTTTAATATTTGAGAGTTAATTTTGTTCTAAAATAATGCTTCGGCAGAGGCTATAAATACCAAGTATCTTTGTTCGTACATAGCACCAGCCTTTGCGTATTGTCTCCTGCCAAAAGACGTACTTGTCTCTCGGCAAAATATGTACCTCGTGCAAACGATCGGGTAGGTTATGTGGACTTAACCTGTACGTACTGTAATAAAATATCGTTGAGTTTGTGAAGCTAATATGTTTTTTATTGCATTTGTGCAGCTAATATGTTTTTTATTGCATTTGTGCAGCGAAAGGATGAGGCGACCAGGAGGCCCACCCAGCATTGGAGGCATCGGGGAGAACTCGACCCGACCAGCAAATCTGTTTGGCCACCTCCTCACCCATGCTCCGGCTACTATAGGAGCGCGGACAAGTAGCCGAGTCCCTCCAAGTGCAACCTTTGCCCATCTCGGTCCTTTCGGAG